ACTTTAATGTGGGCCCACTTCTATCAACCTAACGCTCGTTTTTTTTAAGGTGATGGGTGACTCAATCATAAGATTTTTTATATTGGGTGACTTCGTATAAATTTTCCTAGGATGTATATGAGTCAAGACAAACTATGCTGAAAAGACTGCAATGGAATATCAGGATCATCACGTGCCAAGTGGATTCTAAACCATGATTCCAATCCTGGATGTCACCATGAAACATGGTTTGCATAGGGCGAGAACAAAAATCGAACCGTTATGACTTGGATATAGCAATGGATGATAAGGGAATTGATTCTTGAATTAATGTATCATATGTATGTTCCTTTTCTAGCATGGTTTGACTAGAAAAAAAATATTCTTTATGATAAATATAGATAGTCGTGTGATGTTTGAAGAAAGCTTTGGTCGACCATTTGAAAGGCCTACATTTGTAGTGTTTGAGCACCCATATATTCGAACCTTAAGTTAGTATTATGCTTTTATTGGTATTTTTCCGAACTATGTCTCAGAACTTTTCTTAGTTCAGGTAGACTTCGATAACGCTTGACATTCACGCAACATGCTTTGGACTATGATTTAGACACGTGAAGTTTAGTGATTGAGCCACACAACGAATTTGAATTTGTTCGCTCATATAGAATATTATACACAAATTTTATGTTTTTGATCTTCTTAAAACGTAGGGTTGAAAAATAAAGTCCCTAACTAAATTAAGATCATACGAATAACTTAAACTTGTTAAACGACCCATTATATTTATATTTATATCAAAGTTTTTTTTCCACAATGGAACACTAAGAACCGTACATAGAGCACCAAGAGCATGAGCATGGGGATGGAGGAAGGGAGAGAATTATTCTGTTTTTTTATTTTTTTTTATTTTTTTTTAATTTTAATATATATATATATATATATATATATAGCGTGAAGGCTAAGAATTGTATATAAATATCCAATGGTCAGTTATAAAAAAGATGCCTTTAAAGCTTCTACTCTTCTCTTTAAATCTCCACAACGAAAGTGACTCTGGAATATTTTTATTTTAATGGTGGGAGACAATTAAATGGCTTCAATTTTAAGGCTAAAAATATTAATTTAATTTTCTAAAATTTACACCATATTTTCAATTTAATCCAATCATGAATAATTTTGTTTTACTTGATGAATTAATTTTAGCGTTACATTAATTTTATAATATTTTAAATTAATCTTTTTTTTTTTATATAGAAGAAATACAAAAAAAATTTATCAGTTGACGGACAAGTTGAGTAACCAAATGGAAAAATTTATCTGGTATAAAGAATGCAAGCATGGCAGAAGCCAAGATCTTTATTGTGATCGATTAAATAATAATACGATTTCATCGGGAGGGTTTAGGAGTTAAATAGCTTTCAAAGGACCAGATTCAATAAAAAGATGGAAATCAATCTTAATTCCTCCTCGATCGCCTTCCTTTTTAATGTTTTTTTTTTAATAAAATGAATTGTCATGTTAGATTTATATGAGTATTTAGGAACCCATAAGAATTAAATTGATATTAAAATTAATTTTACGTAAATAATAAATAAATAAATATATATATATATATATTAGGCCATTTTAAAATCCTGCGGCACAATTTGGATGGGCAAAAGACTAATTCTGATCAGACGGTTGATATTTAAATATTCCCGGTTACGGAAAAGCTCTAAGAAAAGTGGATGGCGCTAAATAGCAAGGGTAATATGGTCTTTTCATAACTTCGAGACTATAAAATGCTTTCCTCACCCCACTATCAATTTTACCCGCTGATAACAACCAGAGGTTGCGTAGTGCAGCGTAAAATCCAGTCCGCCGGGGACTCTTATTTCCCGGTCGCCGGAGTTTCTGTTTCCGATCAAGCTTGTATTCTTTCTAATTCTCTGTTTCTATTTAGCGTTCATTTTGTTTTTGTGTTTTTTCTCAGGTTTGTTTTTGTGTTTTTTCTCAGAGGTTTTCGAGACTGACGAAGCGCTGGGTAATAACAGAGCTGGTCGTGTGATGGGGTTTTGTATTTCTCCATTGGGAACACCGGCTAGGTTACTGTGGAGCACCAGCTTCTTCCGCCACAAGCTCATGATTTTCTAATTTTCAGCCCTATCGCTGAAAATACCAAATCCCATCTCGTTCATTTCTCGTTTTAATAAAAGATCTCCCTCGATTTCGTGTCTCTGTGCCAATCCGCCGCCGTAAATCGCCGGTGATCCCCTGCTCACGTTTCCCGTTTCAAATTGAAGAGAATAATTGATGATGTCGGACGGATTGATCTTCAACCGATCTCCAGGTCACGCCAACATGCTGTTTTTTGGGAGTGGCGATTCCATTCTTCGAGGTTATTTCATTTTAGTTCAGTCATGAGCTTTTAGTTTTTGGGATCTTTAACTATATAAAATTCCTTTAAACTGTAATTCTGCAAATGTTAGGATCATGTTTCACGAAGGGGATGGAGGAAAATTCGAAGCGACCCTTTTTCAGCTCTCCGGATGACCTGTTCGATGATGACTACTACGATGACCAGCCGCCTGAGAAGAAGCGCCGGCTAACTCAAGAGCAGGTATTTAAGCAACTCTATTCCGAAAATATCATGCAATTATTCCATTTTTTGTTTTTTTTTTACTTGATGGGTGGGGATGGAATTGTGGAATCTGAAGTCTGAACTGGATGCTTATACTTATGGCATATTCCTTTGATTCAATGTGCTGTTTCTTTAATGCGACTACCTTTGAATCAATGCTGATCTCCTTGTTTAGTTCAGTGGTGAAAGAAAATTAAGCATTATTCTCGGATTCTGAAACTTCAATCTCTCTAGATAAATTACTCGAGGAAAATTCCCATGGGGAATCGTTTATGTGGCTAATATTTGGCCTGTTTAGAATTACTTTATAAGTGCTTACAAACTTCTTAAGTGCAAGAAAATTGTGTTCTTCGTTTATATGGCTAACATAGAGCTTTTATGCTTAAAGTTTTTAGATGGATTGAGAAAGACTCTTTGGATGTTAGGTCTCTTGTGAGATTTAATGTCTCTCTTTGGACGTCGGTGACGAGTTTCTTTTGTAATTACTCGCTTGATGTTATTTTGCTTGATTGGAGGCCCTTGCTTTAGGGGGCTCCCTTTTGTGGGATTGTTTTTTTTTTTTGTACGTCGGTGTATTCTTTCATTTTTCTTAATGAAAGTTGGTTTTTTATGAAAAAAAATTTCAGAAACGTGTTTTTAAGCACTTAAAAAGTCATTTCAAACAGAATGGGTACAATACATCAAGTTCATCTTGAGATTATGGTTTTCTTCTGGTCTGTTTTCTGTTTCTTTTATTGTACATATTTTTAATCTTCCATTGTTCTCATTTCTTAGTAACCAATGAGACTGACCATGGCCAATGATTAGGTGCATCTGCTGGAGATTAGCTTTGAGGCAGAAAACAAACTGGAGCCAGAGCGCAAGACTGAGCTAGCAAAGAAGCTGGGTCTGCAGCCAAGGCAAGTGGCTGTGTGGTTTCAAAACCGCCGAGCTCGATGGAAGACAAAGCAGCTTGAAAGGGACTATGATCTTCTCAAATCTTCATATGATTCCTTTTGTTCTAGCTACGACTTTATGGCCAAGGAGAATGAAAGACTCAAAGCCGAGGTATTTATGCTCCAAATCTATTATTAATTTAAACCTTGATATGGTATGATAATCCTTATAGATGCTGAAAGCTCAACATTTTTTGATATTTGCTTGCTTGGCTGTGTTTGATCTGACATATCTTCTGCACATAAATTTAAGTAGATTCTTTGTAATCCTTTAGGATGGTGGTCCATGGACTGTTTATCTTAGTTTCTTAAGACGACTTGGTAACTTCTAGTTAATACTACAAGTTTCATCATCACATTTGGTCTAACGACGTCTTTTAACCTCGTGGTTCTATTATCGAATTGGACTTTTTGGGCTCATCGAGTTAGTCTAGCATAGGTTCTGAACTCAAATTTCTGGGCGTCAAGAGAAGATATGGATTCTTTTCCCAGATATGATGGTAATCTTTCATAGGAAAAGGACTGGTGAAATTAGTTAAAGAGGGACTTGGTATTGTTACTGAGCCAGGGGTCTTATGCATTCTCAATTACTGAACTCAGGTAGCTTCTTTAACTGAGAAACTTCAAGCTAAAGAAGTGGTTGAATCATCGTTTCAAGCTAAGAAATCCGAGCCAATTCTGGAAGATCAACTCCTTGTTTCTGTTGTGCAACACAATATGAAGATTGATGACCATCATAGTTGCAGGAGCAATGGAAGCGCTGTGCTGGATGAGGATGGTCCTCAACTCTTAGACAGTGGGGATTCATACCTCCTGAGCAATGACTATGATGGCTGTGTGTTGCCAGTTTTTGGAGTGAACTCGGAGGAGGAGGATGTGAGTGATGACGGTCAGGGCTACTTCTCGGATGTTTATACAGCAGCCGATCAGCAGACTCACGAGGCAGAGCCATTGACCTGGTGGGACTGGTCGTTGTAAATGCACGTTCGAATAATTTCGAAATTTAGTAGGATGGAACTACAATATAATGTTTACTGTATGATACTGATGAATAAATCTAATGCGAACATTACTTGGTGTATGGATAAAATTTAGACCTTGTACTGTTACATGGTTCTTGTGCGTTTATATGAATTCCCTTGGAAAGTTGGCCACCTTTAGGACTGGCAAAGCTGTGAGAACCATTGTAATTTTGAAACAAAATTTGGTTTAAGGTTGTGGAAGGTATTAGTGTAACACTCCAAGTCCATTATTAAAAGATGTTGTCCACTTTGGCCCATTACATATTCTCGTCAATCTGTTTATCCATTAAGAGAGATTTCTACACTCTTAAGAAATGTTTCATTCTCCTCTCCAATCTGGGATCTCACAATCCACCCTCCTTAGAGGGCCAGTGTCTTCGCCGGTACATCGTCCAGTGTCTGACTTTGATATTATTTGTAACAACCCAGACTCACCGCCAGATATTGTCAGTTTTGGTTCATTACATATCACCCTCAGCCTCACGGTTTTTAAAACGTATCTACTAGGGAGAGGTTTCCACACTTTTATAAAAAATGTTTCGTTCTCCTCTCCAACCGACATGGAATCCCACGATTAGATCAGTCCAAGCTATTATTGTTCATTGCAAACCACGACCATTAGGCCAATTCTGACCAGTGTCAGAGTTATGCTCAAAACCATTTGGTTCTATTCATTTGGATTCAAGTTACTTAGTCTCCAACCACTCCATTATGAGATCATCTAACCCCATAATTATACATCACTCCAACCACAATCCTACTCAACCAGTTCAATCTATGGAAAAAAATCAAAACTTTTTTAACTTTTTTGACCTTAAACTAACCAACCCATCTCCTAACAGGCTGATAATTATTCCCAAAACAAACACCAACTCCCCCCTTTGAGTTTCTTTATTGCTATGTACTTTCATCAATGGAAGAAGCTAAACAACAATGGAGCTTATCGTATCCCTGATACTCATACTTCTGGGAATTGCCATTTTGGTGTTGATTAACGTGTGGATAGTTGGGAGAGCATTGAGGGGAGGGTTTGAAAATGAAACGACGACTGTGGGAAGAAGCAACAACAATAACGGGGAAGCAACAGGCTGCATGCGCAGAGATGACTTGGAGAAGCTTCCTTGCTTTCAATATATGGCTATGGAGGAACCAATGGGCAGCCCTGTGGATTGTGCAGTTTGCTTGGGGAAATTCCAGATGGGCGAGAAGTGCAGGCTGTTGCCTATTTGCAAGCACAGCTTCCACGCTCAGTGCGTTGATGAGTGGCTTTTGCTGACTCCTGCTTGCCCCATTTGTCGAACAAGCACTCTTGAGTCTCTAAAAGGAGCTGATGTAGATGAAAGATCATGAACGATAACGTTTCAACCGTTTGGTGAGTCGAAAATCAAACCCTTCTAATGATAGTTAGTATCTTCAACACTACTTGAGTTATGTTTTCGGCTCGAAAATACTCGTTAATCAGCACTTCATATGACTTAGGCAAGAGCACATTTTATTCTTTTGACGAAAAGAAAACGGTGAAGAACACGTGTTATGTCGTAGAATCAATAAGGCTTAAAAATGTTAGAACATGATTGAATTCATTGTATTTGAACTGATGCGTCCCTGCTTAAGCTTATATAATTGCTGTTTGTTAATGACTCTAATTCTTTCTTTGTTGGTGAAGAACAAAGAGAACTGCTGGTTTGTTCCTCTCCCCACCTGACCAATGAAACAGGGAAGGCATTAAATGAGGGCTGCCATAGAAAGATGACAAAAGGGCTGGCTAGAAGTCACTGCTGGCCATGGTGGCTGTCTGGCTGGCTGCCTGGCTGCCTTCCAACCTCGAACTCATCAGCTCATCAGCTCATCAGGAATAAGTACTCCAAAGCCAAAGAGTAAAGACAGAGACACAGCCAAGAAATACTGAGTGGCCAAACAGTGAACAGTGGTTTTGGTAATGGATCTTGATGTGAGTTGTTGTGACAGAGTGCCACTTCCTTTAACTCTTCTTCATTTCATTTCCTTTTCAACTATATGCCATTTTTGGGGTATTTTTGCCAACATATTTGAATATATACTTAACGCGCATAGAATTATGAGATAATCTAATTAATCTCCGTTATTTATTTCACGTTTTTAAGGTACAAAATCTAACTAACATAATCTTGTCATTTTGGAGACACGATTATGGTGTATGAAAATGCAATATCTCACATCAGTTGGAGAGGAAAATAGAACATTACTTATAAAAGTGTAAAATCTTTTTCTAGTAGATGCGTTTTAAAACTGTGAAACTGAGTGGACTTGGGTTGTTACAAATGGTATTAAAGTCAGACACCGGGCTAAGACGCGGCTCCAAGGCCCCATGAGAGTGAATTGGAATGAAACATTTTTTAAAAAGATCGTAGAAACTTCTCCGTACACGCATTACTTCGGACCTAATATTAACATAATTTAATATTAGAAGTGCTATTACTTAGCTCCATTATGTTGAATTTTTTTTTATAATGCTCGCTACTGTTACATGAATATGAATTAATGGATGCATGAATCATTACCAAAGATATAGAATTAGGTATAGGAAATAAAATATTCGAAAAAAATAAATATTTAATAGTATATAAACAAAAAAGTCTCCGAAAAACTTATATCCTAGTTATTTATGGAAATAGAGATTTAACTATGTGACGTTAAAATGATAATTTATGTTTTATTATATGGTTCAAAATAATATAAGTATAAAATTAAATAGTAATAATAAAAATTCAGTAAATAACGAGCACGCACGGTTGAAAAAAAGACGTGTGATGTGGGACCCTATTCCCACCTCTATAATTTATTAAACGTCACATGTGCTTCTCATAATTTTCCATGACACTCAAATAGTGTTTTGACACTTCACAATTGTTTTAATTGTACTCGAGAGCGTTCGAGTCGGGCAGCTCGACTTGACTAATATCACGAAACAATTGTTTGATTTCATAATCTTTTGATTGTTATTTTGTATCTATCTTAATATGTAGCGACTATTTTTCTTTAATTCCGTCATTTTCGAGTTATTCAACTTCTACTTCGCTTGCTTAAAAATTTCAAAATTATTAAATTTTGCTGTTCGGTCTCCTTTTCTCTTAAATGGTCAACCAATTGACGTTGACTTTTTCCCGGTACATTTGAAGAGACATAAACCTAATTATATTCATAATCACGTGTATTTTTTTTCTTTTCTTCCTGATAATAATTTTATTTATTTTTGTTTGGATAATGTTTAAATAACTTCACATATCGATTAAAAACGACGAAATTCACTTTATTTTGAATTTCTTTTAATTTTGTAATAAAATAATAAAAACCTAAATAAAAGAAAGGATTATCCAACGTATTTCTATCCTAAATTTGAAAGAAACGAGAAGCTCAAAGGAAATAAAAAACAAAGAGACAAGAAACAAAGAACATGACACTGTTTTACGGCTGACAACGTGGTATTACACCAGCGAGCACGTTTTACTCGTAAAACTAGATAAGCTTAAATAAAGTCTAAATATGAGATCTTCATTGGTCGGATAGAAGAACAAAATATTTTTTATAAGAGTGTAAAAACCTCTCATTAACATATGCGTTTTAAAAACGTGAAACTGACAGCAATACGCTATAATAGTATCATCATCAGATACTATACAGTATGCTAGTAAAGACATTAAATCCTTAAAAAGAGTAGATTTTGAGATCTCACATTAGTTATGGAGGAGAACACTCTTTATAAGGATATAAACACGTGGATGTTGTTACCACAATGAGCGTATAGAACAAGCTCAAGAATTAATGACAAAGAAAACCGCCGTTTATGTTAAGAAGCATTGCTTTCGAACTTTCATTGCAAAGATCATTCAGCTTTGCGTGCATTTTCTCTTGTAGTGTTCCTCCATGCAACTGAGCAAAAGGGTTCCTTTCCTTCAAGTTTGTTCGTGTTGTGTTCTGAATTAAGCTCAATGGATCCGAGCTTGTTCTGGGGTCATCCTGAAAAGGTAATTTTGTTTGTAATTTCAGCTGATGGGTCTCTAAAAATCTGATATTTTTAGGTTTTTTTGTTTGTTACAGAGAGATTCATGGAGGGCAATCTTGACTTTAGCTTATCAAAGCTTGGGGGTTGTTTATGGGGATTTGAGCACTTCTCCTCTGTATGTGTATAAAAGTGCTTTTGCAGAGAACATTCAGAACTCTGAGACGAATGAGGAGGTTTATGGGGTTCTTTGCTTTGTGTTTTGGACTTTGACACTCATTCCATTACTTAAATATGTGTTCATAGTTCTTAGAGCTGATGATAATGGCGAAGGGGGAACTTTTGCTCTGTATTCATTGCTCTGCCGCCATGCCCGGTTGAGCTCCCTCCCAAATCATCAACTAGCGGATGAGGAGCTTTCTGCATATACAACAGACAGGCCTGAAACTCAAACCACTGCTAATTTTAGTTTTAGTTCTTGTCTGAAATCAACCTTGGAGAAATGTAAAGTTTTGCAGAGAATGTTGCTTGTTCTTGCCTTGATTGGGACTTGCATGGTTATTGGAGATGGAGTCCTCTCTCCAGCAATTTCAGGTGGGTGTTCTTATTGTTCTTTTTTGGGATTTAAGAATGTTTAAGGTTGTTCTGATAATCACTACTTGAGTTGCAGTCTTTTCAGCTGTGTCTGGTCTTGAGTTATCCATGGCTAAGGAACATCACCAATGTAAGTTTCTCTAAGGAACATCTCTTTACATTAGGATGTTATTCTCTCATTCTTATGATATGGGCTTGAGTTGTTACAAATAGTATCAGAGTCCGGCATCGAGTGATATGTTAGCGAGGACGCTGAGCCCCAAAAAGGGGTAGATTGTGAGATCCCACATCGATTGGAGAGGGGAACTAAACATTCTTTATAAGGGTGTGGAAACCTTTCTCTAGTAGACGCGTTTTAAAACGTTGAGTGGAAGTTCAGAAGAGAAAGCTCAAAGAGGACAATATCCGCTAGTGGTGGGCTTGAGCTGTTACAAATGGTATCAGGGGTAGACACTGGGTGGTATGCCAGCAAGAATGTTGAGCCCCAAAGAGGGGTGGATTGTGAGATCCCACGTCGAATGAAGAGGGGAACTAAGCATTCTTTATAAGGGTGAAGAAACCTCTCCCTAGCAGACACGTTTTACAACCTTGAGAGGAAGCCCAAAAGGGAAAGCTCAAAGAGGATAATATTTGCTAGCGGTGGGCTTAGGTTGTTATACTCATGTTTTTGTAAGAATTTTATATTTCTCTTGCAGATATTGAAGTCCCTCTAGCATGTGGCATATTAGTGTTCTTATTTGCAATGCAACATTACGGAACGAATCAGGTCGGGTTCCTGTTCGCTCCCGTTGTAATTGTATGGCTTCTATGCATCAGTGCCATTGGTTTGTACAATATCTTCTATTGGAATCCTCTGGTTTACAAAGCACTCTCCCCATACTACATGTTTAAATTCTTGAAAAAAACGAGAAAGCAAGGCTGGATGGCGTTGGGCGGGATCCTCTTGTGTGTAACAGGTGCAACGACGTTATATCCGACCGCAATCGATTCCTTCCATGTGTTTTCTTTGTTTCTGATATGCCCTTTTCTGGTTTTTAGGCTCAGAAGCTATGTTTGCTGATCTTGGCCACTTCTCACAGTTTTCTATCAAGGTACTAATCTGAAGCAAAACAATCCTCTAAAGTTTTTCGGGTCATAAGCATGACGTTTACCGAATGCAATCTGAATGTAAAAACAATGTTTAACATTAATGCTGCAGCTTGCTTTCACTCTCGTGGTTTATCCGTCCTTAGTTCTTGCGTATATGGGACAAGCTGCTTATCTTTCTCAGCATCATGATCTCGACAACGACCATCGGATTGGATTCTATGTTTCTGTTCCTGGTACGTTGGTTGTAATAATAACTTTCTCTTTTCGAGAATAAATTTGTGAGATCCCACGTCGGTTGGAGAGGGGAACGAAACATTCTTTATAAGGGTGTGGAAACCTCTCCCTAGCAGACACGGAGAAGCCCAAAGAGGACAATATCTGCAAGTGAAGTAATGTAAAGTGCTGGCTATGTTATGTTGCAGAGAAGGTAAGATGGCCAGTTCTTGCAATAGCAATACTTGCAGCAGTGGTGGGTAGTCAAGCGATCATCACCGGCACGTTTTCGATCATCAAACAGTGTTCTGCGTTGGGTTGTTTTCCGAGGGTAAAGATCATTCATACGTCTTCGAAAATACATGGCCAGATTTACATTCCCTTAATCAACTGGATACTAATGATATTATGTTTGGCTGTTACCATTGGGTTTAGAGACACGAAACGACTCGGCAATGCAGCAGGTATTTGTTGATCAGGCATTTGGTTTCTGCTTTTACTTTTTATCCGTCTTTCGAACTTCACAACGCACGCTATCTATTTGTTTATCATACAGGGTTGGCAGTTATTGTTGGAAAGAGGGATAGTGAAAGAGATAGGAATAGATGAGAATAGATAGAAGCTGCAGTGCTTTATTAATGTCTACGGACTTGATACCTACAGAGTTACACAATTCCAGTATTTATAGCTAATACACTGGACCAGAAATAGTAAATCATAGAAATCTAGATAAACTCAAATCTATTAACAATCTCCTAAAATCTTGGTAGTTTGAATATTTGAATCATATCTAACTACCCTAAATCATATCTTCATTTTGAATACTTTGAATCATATCTCAACACTCCCCCATGATTCAAAGTTGCAGATGTAAGTACAGAGCTTTTCTTCTGACAAGGCCTTTGTAAGTATGTCTGCTTTAACCCGTACATTGTCTGTCTCAGCTTGTATACCTTTGTTTCTTTGTCTTCCTTTATGAATCCCTCTGGCGGTCTTACATAAACCTCTTCTTGTAAATCTCCATAAAAATTTTCGTTTGGTAGGTCAACCATATCCCATGTTCCATCTTTCTTAACGGACTGCATCTCTACTGCCATGACTTTCTTCCCGTCTTCTTTTTCAGTTGCTTCTTCATAATTGATAGGGTCTGAAATAGTAAGAGCAAACTGACATGATGCATATATGTCAGCTAAAGATTTATACTTCTTTGGAGGTGTCTCATCTGAAAGTTCTTCAAGAGAGGAATTGTTGTTCAATGATTCTGAAGATAATGAATTTGACACACTTTGTGTTGCAGTGGATGCACTGGGAGATGCACTGGAGTTGACCCTTGTCTCTTCATTTGGGGAAACTTCAACTGTAATCTTTTGCTGCTCCTGTTCTTTACTCCAATCCCAACTCACGTTTTCATTAAATATTACATCCCTTCTAACTAAAATCTTTTCACTAACGGGGTTGTATAGTTTATATGCCTTTGATTGAGTACAATAGCCAATGAAAATGCATTTTTCAGATTTTTCATCAAGCTTTTGACGAGTTTGAGGATGTTTCAAAGCATAAGCAACACAACCAAAGATTCGTAAATGACTTACAGATGGTTTCCTTCCATGCCATGCTTCATAAGGAGTTCGATTCATAACCGCCTTTGTTGGTGAGATGTTTAATAGATAAACAGATGTTGCTACGGCTTCGGCCCAAAATTGGTTTGGAAGTCTCCTTGCTTGTAACATACTTCTTGCCATCTCCACAATAGTTCGATTTTTTCGTTCAGCGATTCCATTCTGTTCTGGAGTGTAGGGAGCTGTTAATTCCCTTTGGATGCCCTCTTCTTCACAAAAGAGATTGAAATCTTTAGATATGAACTCGCCACCTCTGTCTGTGCGAAGAACTTTAATGTGACAGCCACTTTGGTTCTCTACCATAGCTTTAAAAATCTGGAACTTCTGAAAAGTTTCTGACTTATGTTGTAGGAAGTAAACCCAGCTCATGCGACTATAGTCATCAACGAATAGTAAAAAGTATATACTTCCACCCAAGGACTTCGTTTGCATTGGCCCACATAAATCAGCATGAATTAGTTCTAGATAATGTGAAGCTCTTTTAGCTTTTCCAACAGGAAAGGACTTCCTAGTCTGCTTGCCATAAATGCATCCTTCACATAAATTAGTTGAGTCAATTTTTGGTAATCCGAAAACCATACCTTTATCCCTGAGTATTTTCAGGCCGTTCATATGAAGATGTCCATATCTGAGATGCCATAATGTTGAATCATCTTTCATGCTAGCAGTAAGAGCAAAATCCTCCATGTTAGAAACATCAAGTGGAAACATCTTATTTGAAGTCATGGCAATTTCAACTTTATGGCCTGATTTCTTATCTGTGATGACACATGTGTTATCATCAAATAGAACTGAGTGTCCTCTGGTCATCAATTGTCCAACACTCAATAAATTGTACCCTAAATCAGGTACAAATTGAACATTATCTAATTGTTTTATCTTACCGTGACTGGTTTCGACTTTCACTGTACCTTTTCCTTCAACTTGCATCTCTTTTGTATTTCCAAGTTGCACCTTAATCTTTTGCGTCTCATCAAGCTCTTTGAATAAGGATTTGGTGCCTGTCATATGGTTCGAGCATCCGCTATCAACAAACCATAAGCTACCTTTTTCCGGATTAGTATCCATGCACGCCACAAACAACTTATCTTCTTCTTCTTCATTCTCTGCTTCAAAATTCATTTGTTGATTTTTATACCAACAATCAGATTTTGTGTGACCATACCTTCTACAATGGTAACATTGTATGACATTCCTTTGTTCATTGAATTGTCTCTGTCCACCACTTCTCCAACTGTTATCACGACCACCATGGAAGTTGCGAAATCCTCCTCTTCCACGACTTCTACCTGCTAAATGAATATTTTCTCTTTCGTTATTGGTTGTCTCCTTCACTTGTAGTGCCTTTTCTTCGTTTCTTTCTGATGCTCTACTGATTCTTGCCTCATGAGCCTGAAGCGAGCCCATCAGTTCATCAACGGAGAGTATGGATAGATCCTTAGCTTCTTCTATGGCGGCCACCACATGGTCAAACTTTGGAGTCAAGCTTCTCAACACCTTTGCAACAATTGTTTCGTTTGAAATTTTCTCTCCATAGGTACGCATCTGACTGACTATTGCCATTGATCTTGACAAAAAATCAGCAATTGATTCGCCATTCGTCATGAGTAGAGTTTCAAAATCACGTCTTAGAGATTGCAATTTCACTGTCATGACCTTTGAGTCTCCTAGAAACTCCTTCCGTAGAATTGACCATGCCTGCTTTGATGTGGTTGCTGCTGCAATTCGTGAAAAAATAGTCTCATGAACTGCTTGTTGAATAATGAATAGAGCCTTGGCATCGTTTTTCTTGGTTTCTCTCAGTCTCTCCTTTTCTTCTATTGTGGGTTCTAATACATCAGCAAACCCGTGCTCCACCAAGTCCCATAGCTCCTGCGATCTGAGCAAGGTCTTCATCTTGATGCTCCACCACTCATATTTCTCACCATTAAAGATTGGTAACAACGGTGCAGAGGAAGAAAAACCAGCTACTGCCATTTTTGTTTTGTGAAAGAAAATAATCACTCGCCCTCGTGTCGAACGAACTTGGCTCTGATACCACAATTGTTGGAAAGAGGGATAGTGAAAGAGATAGGAATAGATGAGAATAGATAGAAGCTGCAGTGCTTTATTAATGTCTACGGACTTGATACCTACAGAGTTACACAATTCCAGTATTTATAGCTAATACACTGGACCAGAAATAGTAAATCATAGAAATCTAGATAAACTCAAATCTATTAACAATCTCCTAAAATCTTGGTAGTTTGAATATTTGAATCATATCTAACTACCCTAAATCATATCTTCATTTTGAATACTTTGAATCATATCTCAACAATACCCCATGATTCAAAGTTGCAGATGTAAGTACAGAGCTTTTCTTCTGACAAGGCCTTTGTAAGTATGTCTGCTTTAACCCGTACATTGTCTGTCTCAGCTTGTATACCTTTGTTTCTTTGTCTTCCTTTATGAATCCCTCTGGCGGTCTTACATAAACCTCTTCTTGTAAATCTCCATAAAAATTTTCGTTTGGTAGGTCAACCATATCCCATGTTCCATCTTTCTTAACGGACTGCATCTCTACTGCCATGACTTTCTTCCCGTCTTCTTTTTCAGTTGCTTCTTCATAATTGATAGGGTCTGAAATAGTAAGAGCAAACTGACATGATGCATATATGTCAGCTAAAGATTTATACTTCTTTGGAGGTGTCTCATCTGAAAGTTCTTCAAGAGAGGAATTGTTGTTCAATGATTCTGAAGATAATGAATTTGACACACTTTGTGTTGCAGTGGATGCACTGGGAGGTGCACTGGAGTTGACCCTTGTCTCTTCATTTGGGGAAACTTCAACTGTAATCTTTTGCTGCTCCTGTTCTTTACTCCAATCCCAACTCACGTTTTCATTAAATATTACATCCCTTCTAACTAAAATCTTTTCACTAACGGGGTTGTATAGTTTATATGCCTTTGATTGAGTACAATAGCCAATGAAAATGCATTTTTCAGATTTTTCATCAAGCTTTTGACGAGTTTGAGGATGTTTCAAAGCATAAGCAACACAACCAAAGATTCGTAAATGACTTACAGATGGTTTCCTTCCATGCCATGCTTCATAAGGAGTTCGATTCATAACCGCCTTTGTTGGTGAGATGTTTAATAGATAAACAGATGTTGCTACGGCTTCGGCCCAAAATTGGTTTGGAAGTCTCCTTGCTTGTAACATACTTCTTGCCATCTCCACAATAGTTCGATTTTTTCGTTCAGCGATTCCATTCTGTTCTGGAGTGTAGGGAGCTGTTAATTCCCTTTGGATGCCCTCTTCTTCACAAAAGAGATTGAAATCTTTAGATATGAACTCGCCACCTCTGTCTGTGCGAAGAACTTTAATGTGACAGCCACTTTGGTTCTCTACCATAGCTTTAAAAATCTGGAACTTCTGAAAAGTTTCTGACTTATGTTGTAGGAAGTAAACCCAGCTCATGCGACTATAGTCATCAACGAATAGTAAAAAGTATATACTTCCACCCAAGGACTTCGTTTGCATTGGCCCACATAAATCAGCATGAATTAGTTCTAGATAATGTGAAGCTCTTTTAGCTTTTCCAACAGGAAAGGACTTCCTAGTCTGCTTGCCATAAATGCATCCTTCACATAAATTAGTTGAGTCAATTTTTGGTAATCCGAAAACCATACCTTTATCCCTGAGTATTTTCAGGCCGTTCATATGAAGATGTCCATATCTGAGATGCCATAATGTTGAATCATCTTTCATGCTAGCAGTAAGAGCAAAATCCTCCATGTTAGAAACATCAAGTGGAAACATCTTATTTGAAGTCATGGCAATTTCAACTTTATGGCCTGATTTCTTATCTGTGATGACACATGTGTTATCATCAAATAGAACTGAGTGTCCTCTGGTCATCAATTGTCCAACACTCAATAAATTGTACCCTAAATCAGGTACAAATTGAACATTATCTAATTGTTTTATCTTACCGTGACTGGTTTCGACTTTCACTGTACCTTTTCCTTCAACTTGCATCTCTTTTGTATTTCCAAGTTGCACCTTAATCTTTTGCGTCTCATCAAGCTCTTTGAATAAGGATTTGGTGCCTGTCATATGGTTCGAGCATCCGCTATCAACAAACCATAAGCTACCTTTTTCCGGATTAGTATCCATGCACGCCACAAACAACTTATCTTCTTCTTCTTCATTCTCTGCTTCAAAATTCATTTGTTGATTTTTATACCAACAATCAGATTTTGTGTGACCATACCTTCTACAATGGTAACATTGTATGACATTCCTTTGTTCATTGAATTGTCTCTGTCCACCACTTCTCCAACTGTTATCACGACCACCATGGAAGTTGCGAAATCCTCCTCTTCCACGACTTCTACCTGCTAAATGAATATTTTCTCTTTCGTTATTGGTTGTCTCCTTCACTTGTAGTGCCTTTTCTTCGTTTCTTTCTGATGCTCTACTGATTCTTGCCTCATGAGCCTGAAGCGAGCCCATCAGTTCATCAACGGAGAGTATGGATAGATCCTTAGCTTCTTCTATGGCGGCCACCACATGGTCAAACTTTGGAGTCAAGCTTCTCAACACCTTTGCAACAATTGTTTCGTTTGAAATTTTCTCTCCATAGGTACGCATCTGACTGACTATTGCCATTGATCTTGACAAAAAATCAGCAATTGATTCGCCATTCGTCATGAGTAGAGTTTCAAAATCACGTCTTAGAGATTGCAATTTCACTGTCATGACCTTTGAGTCTCCTAGAAACTCCTTCCGTAGAATTGACCATGCCTGCTTTGATGTGGTTGCTGCTGCAATTCGTGAAAAAATAGTCTCATGAACTGCTTGTTGAATAATGAATAGAGCCTTGGCATCGTTTTTCTTGGTTTCTCTCAGTCTCTCCTTTTCTTCTATTGTGGGTTCTAATACATCAGCAAACCCGTGCTCCACCAAGTCCCATAGCTCCTGCGATCTGAGCAAGGTCTTCATCTTGATGCTCCACCACTCATATTTCTCACCATTAAAGATTGGTAACAACGGTGCAGAGGAAGAAAAACCAGCTACTGCCATTTTTGTTTTGTGAAAGAAAATAATCACTCGCCCTCGTGTCGAACGAACTTGGCTCTGATACCACAATTGTTGGAAAGAGGGATAGTGAAAGAGATAGGAATAGATGAGAATAGATAGAAGCTGCAGTGCTTTATTAATGTCTACGGACTTGATACCTACAGAGTTACACAATTCCAGTATTTATAGCTAATACACTGGACCAGAAATAGTAAATCATAGAAATCTAGATAAACTCAAATCTATTAACAATCTCCTAAAATCTTGGTAGTTTGAATATTTGAATCATATCTAACTACCCTAAATCATATCTTCATTTTGAATACTTTGAATCATATCTCAACAGTTATAACCGTGATGCTCGTCTCGACGTGTCTAATGTCACTTGTCGTTGTATTATGTTGGCGTAAAAGCGTGTTTCTGGCCATGGCCTTCTTGTTCTTCTTTGGCTCCATAGAAGCTCTCTACTTCTCTGCATCTCTTATTAAGTTTCTTGAAGGAGCTTGGGTTGCTATTGCTCTTTCACTGACCTTCCTTGTGGTTATGTCTGTTTGGCACTATGGCACTGTCAAGAAATATGAGGCTGATGTTGAAAACAAAGTCCCTATAAATTGGCTCCTCAGAATAGGACCCAAGATCGGGATAGTTCGGGTCCGAGGGATCGGCCTTGTACATACCGAACTCGTTTCCGGGATCCCTGCCATTTTCTCTCATTTTGTCACCAACCTTCCAGCTTTTCACCAAATTCTAGTCTTCCTATGCATCAAATCTGTCACGGTGCCTCATGTGAGGCCTGAGGAAAGATTTCTAGTTGGTCGAGTCGGGCCAAAGGAGCATCGAATTTACCGTTGCATCGCACGGTATGGCTACCGTGACATGCACAAGGACGACTTGGAGTTCGAGAGAGATCTTTCCTGCAGCATTGCAGAATTCATACGGTCGGAGGGAACAGAACGCAACAATTTTAGACACGAAGACTTGGACGACGATGAAAGAATGACAGTGATTGGAACTTCATCAACTCAACTAGACGGTGTACAAATGTGTGAAAACGAAGCGTACTCTTCACCGATCGTGGGCACTTCGGAGCTACCGAAGTCGGAGAAGATGAGGAAAAGAGTACGATTCGTTGTCCCCGAGAGTCCGAAAATGGATATCGACACGAGAGGAGAGTTGGAAGAGTTGATGGAGGCAAGGGAGGCAGGAATGGCATTCATAATGGGGCATTCATATGTGAAGGCAAAGAAGGGATCAGGGTGGATGAAGAAGGTTGTGATTAATTATGGATATGATTTGTTGAGGAAAAATTCAAGAGGGCCATCTTATGCTTTGAGCATTCCTTTTGCTTCTACTCTTGAGGTTGGAATGGTTTACTATGTTTAAACAATTTCCAGTGTATTCACTCATTTGTGCGTGCCCGTTTATGGACTAAAAGTCTACCGCTAGCAGATAATGTCTTTTTTTGAATTTTTTAAAACGTGTCTACTAGAGAGAGGTTTTAACACCCTTACAAGTAATACTTCGTTGAGCTCTTCAACCAATGTAGGATCTCACAATTCAAGCGCCTCGTGTCTGGCTCTAATACTATCTGTAACAGCTTAAACTCACCACTAGCGGCTATTGTCCGTTTTGACCCCGTTACATATCACCATCAGCCTCACGGTTTTAAAAGTCGTCTACTAGGGAGAGGTTTTCACACTACAAAGAATGTTTCGAAGCAGACAATATCTGCTATCGATGGACTTGAGTTGTTACATCAACCGAGCGTAACTTTATATCACATATCCTATACAATTTGGATCAATTGGGTCGGGTTTTTCATTGGATCCCATGTTGAATCTTCCTAAATTTGAAAACTTTGTGGCAATAAAGAGTGCATTAAAGCTTCAATGACTACTCAATTCAACCTTTGATGTTAACACAAACTTGGTTTTGAAGCCTTGGGACAAAAGCATAGGGAATGTGATTCCCCTCTTACCGCCATAAGCTCTCTTTATGCAGTTTTCTACCTTCTTTTTGCTTTGGCTAGAATGGTAAATTCATACCATTTCTTATTTGTTACAAATCATTAACATTTCCCATTAAAATGGCAAATCAAATTTGAACTTATAATAAATGAAGTTATTTGGATGAGTTTACACTAAAACCAGGGAATAAAATTGGTATCTTTGTCACTGCTATCGGAGCATCCCATTGCCCTGGTGGGTGGCCTCATTACACACAGCCTCCAGCCCTCTTTCGGCATTGGTTTTGGCTTTACTTTACTTTTTCTTACTCTTTTGACAGCTCTCTCTCGTCTATTGCGTCTTCTAAAACCACTAAACCTTCTTTGTTTCTTTCACTGTCATTCCTTCTGAGAAAAGGGTACCACTTCGTTCATACGTAGAGGGGAAAAGCGATCCACTTTATTTTTGGGTCTGTACTTGAGTGGCTCCTCAAAATGCGTAGCTTCAATCCCTTCAGTTTTTGAGGGTTTTGCTCCTCAATTTTCCTCATTTCGGCAATGGCCAGGATTTGGGTCGGTTTTGCTCTCGTTTTTGTTCTTCTTTTTGGTGGGGTTTCTTCCGCTTCAGCTACGCCTCCTGCAAGTAAGTTATCAGATAACGATGATGATGATGATGAAGTAAAGGATTAAGAATGAGAAGGACCCATGTTGTTAATCTTATGATTTTTGCACTTTCCCTGTTTCAAATGGTGTCTATGTGCTTCATTCAGCTTACGGCATTTCCACTTTTTGAGCAGAAATTGTTCGTGGGGTTCTTTCTAATGTGGTTTCTTCTCTTGTGAAGAGGCTATGGTCGATGAAATCCAGCGCCAAAACTGGTTCGGATCCTTCTTTGCTGCCTTGCATTCTTCCATTTTTGCTGTAATTTCTTAACTGGGTTTCCTGCTCGATCTTCTCAGCTGTTTCCAGCCGTTCGATGATGAAATTTGAGAGTGGATATACTGTTGAGACGGTGTTCGATGGCAGTAAGCTGGGAATTGATCCATATTCGGTTGAGGTATCGCCTAGTGGGGAGCTTTTGATCTTAGATGCTGAAAACAGCAACATCTATAAGATCTCTATGCCATTGTCTCGATGTAAGCAACTTTATGGGTTTACATTACATTTTCATGCATTTTTCTTGATAGAGCAATGTACTTTTGTTAGTTCTATCTGTTCTTGCCATTTCTAAGCTGGGACTTCTCAGATGGTAGCAGTTTTGGGCCTTTATTTCTTTCATTGCTGAATTTCTGTACCAAATCTCTTGAACTTAATATGTTCTTCTGTTGTGAAAATTTGTGTATCTAAAGACTGGAGCCATTTGCTAAGAGATGTGGCATTCAATATTCATTATCTGGATGAAATTTGTAGTTAGCAGGCCCAAGCTGGTTTCGGGATCGGCTGAAGGATACTCGGGACATGTCGATGGTCATCCAAGAGAGGCAAGAATGAACCATCCGAAAGGGTTTACTTTGGATGCAAGAGGGAATGTGTACATTGCTGATACTATGAATATGGCTATCAGAAAGATTAGTGACACAGGTATTTCGACAAATAGTTTAGAAATTCCCTCTACAAGTACCCGAAATTTGATATCGAATTCGATTTTTGTGGCTGGATCCTTTCCTTGTTATATTCTGATCAAAATTCAGCATGTCTATGTTTCTTGAATATTAACGCTTAGAATGTCCAAGACTCTATGTGTGAGATACCACATCGGTTGGAGAGGGAAACGAAACATTCCTTATAAGGGTGTGAAAACCTCTCCCTACTTGATGCGTTTTAAAACCGTGAGTTTGACGGCGATACGTAACCGGACAAAACGGACAATATCTGCTGGCGGTGGGCTTGAGCTGTTACAAATGGTATCAGAGCTAGACGCCGGGCGGTGTGTCAATGTGGACGCTGGGCCCTCAAGGGGGGTGGATTGTGATATCCCACATCGGTTGGAGAGGGGAACAAAGCATTCTTTATAAGGTTGTGAAAACCTCTCCCTACTAGACGCGTTTTAAAACTAAGTCTGACGACGTACGTAATAGGACAAAGTGGACAATATCAGCTAACAGTGGAACAATGGGCTTGAGCTGTTACAAATGGTCTCAGAGCTAGACACCGGGGCAGTGTGCCAGCGAGGATGCTGGCCCCCAAGGTGGGTGGATTGTGAGATCCCACATCGGTTGAAGAGGGGAACAAAGCATTTCTTTTAAGGGTGTGGATACCTCTCCCTAGAAGACGCGTTTTAAAACTGTGAGTCTGACAGCGACACGTAACGGGACAAAACAAACAATATCTACTAGCAGTGGGCTTGACTCTTACACTAAGCACGCCGTATTGATTATGTTAAGGTAAAAGCTGTTGTTTATGTGAGCTAATCATTATTACCTGCAGGGGTTACAACTATTGCCGGTGGAAGATGGAACCAAGGGAATGGTCATATTGATGGTCCAAGTGAAGATGCAAAGTTCTCAAATGATTTTGATGTCGTTTATGTGGGAAGTAGCTGCTCTCTTTTGGTTATAGACAGAGGAAACAGTGCAATTCGAGAGATTGAACTCAACTACGATGATTGCAATACTCAATATGCCGATAGTCTCAACTTGGGTACAACGAAAGCCTATCATTCCAGCCATTTTAAGTACTCATTCTTGGCTAATAGACCCTTCATCTCTTCCATTTGCTCTTATCTGCAGGGGTTGTATTGCTGGTTGCTGCCGGCTTATTTGGTTACCTGCTTGCGTTGCTCCAACGTAGAGTGCAAGCTATGTTTTCTTCTCCACAGAAGGTAGCTCTTTCACAAACTTCATATATTTTTCTTTGTTTCAAATACATAATTATGTTGTTTGAACATCTCGATTGTAACGAGAATGTTTCGTTCTCCTCCCTAACCGATGTGGGATCTCACAATCTACTCCCTTCAGGGCCCAGCGTCCTTGTTGACACTCGTTCCCTTCTCCAATCGATGTGGGACCCCCCAATCCACCCCCTTTAGGACCTAGCGTCCTTGTTGGCACACCGGCTCCATTCAAAACTTATATTTCTTTTTCTTTCTTGGGTGGTAGGATCAGGATATAAGAAGTCATCAAATGATGAAAGCTACACCAGTTGCCCCATACCAAAGACCTCCTCTGAAGTCAGTGAGGCCTTCCTTGATTCCAAATGAAGATGAACCAGAGAAACTGGAGGAAGGCTTCTTCGGTTTGCTTGGGAGGCTATTTGTCAACAGCGGTTCATCTGTGGCCGATATCTTTGGCGGATTGTTATCTGGGTTTCGAAGGAAGCCTCTCAATAACCAGATCCATCAGCAGTTTCAACCAGTTAACA